TTTGCACATCTGAGATGTTATTTGCATTTCTTGCAGTAAATTTAAGTAAGTTTGTACATGTTTGTTGGTCTTTAGTACAAACTTTTTAGTTTTATCCTTATTGCCAGACCACCTTCATTCTTTTACTCACTTTCTTTTTATTTATTTATTAAAAAAATGGTTTATTTATTTATTTATACAAGCACTGGGTACAGTCAGAAGCGCGGGAGGGTGAGAGGATTCACCAGGGCCAGAGCAGGAAACAGAACAGGCAGACTGATGAAATACACTGCTGAGGGGAGCAGTGGGCGTGGCAGGAGAGGTCTGTGCACCATGTGGGACTCTCGCAGGTGGCCAGGGATCGAACCGGCGCTGCAGAGGCTGCGGGCAGCTTCGCAGTCCAGCACTCAACCGCTGCACCACCAGGGGAGGCCCTGTTTTACTCACTTTCCCAACCTCAGTCCTGGTCTCCTGCTAACCTATTGCTATCTGCCCTACTCTTTACAGATTTCCAGAGTAATCTTTTTTTTTTTTAAAGATTTATTTATTTATGCATACAAGAACTGAAGTACAGGCCAGAGGTGTGGGGAGTGAGAGGATTCACCAGAGACAGAGTGGGAAATAGAACAGGCAGAAAAGACTGAAATAAACTGCTGAGGGAAGCAGCGGGGGAGACAGGAAAGGTCTGCTGCGCCATGTGGGTAGCTCCCACACTGGGGATCGAACTCGTGCTGCAGTGGCTGCAGATAGCTTCATAGGTTGTGTCTTACCCCCTTGTGCCACCAGGGATGCCCCAGAATAATCTTTTTCACAAGAATATGTGATCATTCAAAACACATCAGTGACCTCAAACACATCCCACAACCTATGGGATAAACAGCCTAGGCTATTTAGGTTGGCCTAAAAAAGTGTGCGATCCACTTCACACCTCATATTAAAAAAAAAAAAAAAAGGGCCCCCCTGGTGGCGCAAGGGGTTAAGCATGGCACTGTGCAGCTATCCTCAGCCTCTGCAGCACGAGTTCGATCCCCTGCCAGGGAGCAGCCCACATGGCGCAGCAGACCTCTCCTGACTCTCCCGCTGCTCCCCTCAGCAGTGTATTTCAGTCAATCTGCCTGTTCTGTTTCCCACCTGGTGAATCCTCTCATGCCCCCTTACCTCTGGACTGTACCCCAGATCTTGTATGCATAAATAAATAAATCTTTTTAAAAAACACAAAAGAATAGAAACAACAAATACGGTGAGAGTGTGGAAAGAAAAGAACCTTTGTAAATTGTTGGTGGAAACGTAGGCTGGTCTAGTCCCTGTGGAGAACAGTGTGGAGATTCCTCAAAACATTAAAAATAGATCTACCATATAATCCATCAATTCTACTCCATGTATCTATCTGAAGAATGCCAAAGTACTAATTTGAGGGGATAAATTCACTCCTATGTTCACTGCAACACTGTTTATAATAGCCAAGTTATGGAAACAACCTGAGTGCCCCAGAACAGAGGAGTGGACCAAGAAGATGTGGTGTGTATACAAGATGGAATACCACATGTCTCTAAAGAAAGATAAACTCTCACCATTTGTGACAACATGGATGGAACTGGAGGGGATTACATTAAGTGCAAAAAAAGTCAGAAGGAGAAAGAGGAATACTAGATGATTTCACTCATGTGGAATATAGAGAAACAAAAGAACTGATCAAATACACCAAACAATACCTTGGAAATATGATTGCAGAATCGAGGCTACTGGATGGAGGGGGGAGGGGGAGAACAAAGCAAGGAGGAGGACCGATAGTCTATGGTAAAGACTATGGGTGCTTTGGTGGTGGGCAGGGTGTGGTTGCACACATCTGAAGAGGTATGAACCTATCCCCCTAAATTATATTCAGTGTTGTAAACAAATGTTACCTAAAAAAATTTTTTTAGGAACTCCCTGGTGGCGCAAGCAGTTAAGATGCTGCCTATGAAGCAATCCACAGCCTCTGTGGCATGAGTTCAATCCCCCAGTCTTCCAGGGAGCTACCCACATGGCACAGCAGACTTCTCTTGACTTGTCCACTGCTCCCCTCAGCAGTGTATTTCAGTCAATCTGCCTGTTCTGTTCCCCACTCTGTGTGTGTGGGGGTGAATCCTCTCACTGCCCCCCACATCTGGCCTGTGCCCCAGTTCTTGTATGCATAAATAAATAAATCTTAAAAAAAATTTTTTTTACATGAATCCCATCCCACCCCAAGTGCCCATTAATTGAGCACTTACCACATGCAGATGCCCTTTGTGTGGGTGGTGGCTGGGCACCCAGAGATGAACAAGCAGGCAAATCTCTGCTTTCTGAAGTGGATGTTTTAGAATGGTATTTGTCAACCCTTTTGTCATTATCCCCTTCTTTTTTTTTTTTAAAGATTTATTTATTGGTGCATGCAAGAGCTGGGTTGTAGGCCAGAGATTTGGGGGTTGGGGAGGGATGAGAGTATTCACCAGAGACAGAGTGGGGAGAAGAACAGGTGGATCTACTGAAATACACTCTTGAGGGGAGCAGCGAGCAAGACAGGAGAGGTCTGTTGCACCATGAAGGTCACCTCCCTGGCCGGGGATTGAACTCTCTCGCTGCTGTGGCTGTGGATAGCTTTATAGTGGTGGTGGTTAACCCCTTGCGCCACCAGGGAGGCCCATTAACCCCCTTCTAAGAAGAAAAATGGAATTATGTTTAAATTTAATTTAAATCAATTAGTTAAATTAACTTTAATTGAATTTAATTTCTTCCTAGCAATAGAAATTAAATTCTTAAGAACAAGATTTTATCTGGTAAATCTGGCTTTGGAGGGCCACCAGCCCTCCAAAGGGAGGTTTTTCACCCTCAGTAAGCAATTTGGCCCCCTGGTATGTCACCTTCCCCTATTGAGAATTCATGCTTTAGAGGAAGAGCTGGACAGCAAAAAAATAATGGAAAAGACTATGCCAGAGTGCCAAGATGTCACAAAGAAAAGGAAGGAGAGGAGGTCACAGCCAGTCCTTTGCTGGCACTACCTTTCTCAATCACTAGGACAATAATGTCCCTGTTTGGAGTCCTCAGGGCAGGATTTACCAGATTGAAAAAGAAAACCCATGAAGCGCTGGTTGCATTGAAGTCACAGCTTGTAGCTCGTCAGAAATAAAGTGCTCCAATTTAACAAGCATATTGGCAAATATGGGACTTACTGTTGATGCTAGTCTTTTATGTAATTTTATGCACTATGGGTACTTGGGTTCCAGACTCATAGACAGACCTCTCCCTGTGTCTTGTCATGTCTCTAATTGGAAGCAAGACCCAGATACGAACCTAATGATGTGGCTGGAGACCATAGGGTGTTGGGCTGCTTACTGTTGATCTTGTGATCAGCTTGCTGCTGATCTGATGGTATCCATCCAGAACCAGCCATCTGCTCACTATTTTGACTACAGAGCTGTATACACTGGAGTCCATTCTCAATCATCCCATACTTGTTCAGGGAGATCTATGTGTGAATTTACGGAGTACAATTTGAATAAACTGGTTAAATATGGTCTACGTGCCTTATGAGAGACACTTTCAGTTCCTAACTACAAAACCATTTGAATTGTTGGTAAAGACTTGGAATTTACGATTTATGATAATGATGATGTGTCTCCATTTCTGGAGGGTCTTGAAAAAAGGCCACAGAGAAAGGCACAACCTGCTCGTGAACTTGCAGAAATTGCAGAAAATGCTGATGAACCAATGGAACATTAATAGACCAGTGTATTTGTGTATTATCAAATATGTAAGAATGCAAGGACATGTATTGATGACAATAATCTATACTTTGAACCAAGTGATGCAGAGTGGAGGAATATATAAATAAAAATAAATAAGTATATTTATTTTTGTAGAAGAACTGGGGTATAGACCAGAGGTGCAGGGGTGAGAGGATTCACTAGAGACTGAGTGGGGGGCAGAAAAGGCGGATTTACTGAAATATACTGCTGAGGGGAGCAGTGGATGAGAAAGGAGCGGTCTGCTGTGCCATATGTGGGTCAGCTCCCTGGTGGGGCTTGGAACGCAGGCCATAGTGATGATAGCACTGAGACTTAACCGCTAGGCCACCTGGGAACCCTGGGAATTGTATGTTTTAGGACTCAGCCCAGATGAATTTTCCCCCAAGCAACCTCCCTGAAACCATATAATGGAATGCAGTTTTCTTTTTTTTTTTTTTCCATAGAGGCATGTTTTTATTTGTTTGTTTGTTTTGTTTATACATGCACTGGGTACAGTCAGAAGCGCGGAGGGTGAGAGAATTCACCAGAGCCAGAGCGGGGAGCAGAACAGGCAGAAGGACCGAAGTACACTGCTGAGGGGAGCAGCGGGCGGCAGGAGAGGTCTGCGCGCCATGTGGGACCCTCCTCTGGTGGCCGGGGAGCAGCCAGGGATCGAACCGGCGCCGCAGAGGCCGCGGGCAGCTTCGCAACCCAGCGCTCAACCGCTGCGCCACCGGGGAGGCCCTGGAATGCAGTTTTCTTTAAGAGGGTCTGTATAATCATTTCCTAGAATTTTCTAGTATCATACTAATGTTTTTATATGAAGAACATAGCATCTTTGTGATTGTAAAGACAATTGTGAAATAAAGTTGTCCCAACTGTTAAAAAAAAAAAAAACACCAAAAAACCAAAAAAAAAAAAAAAAAAAAAGAGGGAAAGTAATTGAGGGCAATGCTTGACATCGCGATCATTTGAATCATGAAAGCTCTTCCCAACAAGAGCAGCCTTAGTTTCTTCAAATACAAAATGGAAATGAAATTTCCTCCTCACAGTGCCTGGAATACAGTGCGATGTATTGAAATTAAATACTTAGCGACCTTTTTTTATTATTAAAGTTTTAAAAGCTATATGAGAGAAACCCTGAGATCCACCTCTCAGCGGTCTACCAGAGGCGCACAGCAGCCAGCACCTCCACCTCTGTCCGCGGGAGGCGCTGTGGGCGTTGCCTACGGGCTGCTCTAGGCGGCGGTACCGGAAGTCTTTCTTCCCCGCACTTCCGGTCTTCTGGCCCCGGCTTGGGCTGCGTGGAGAAGCTCCTGCAATGCCGACCGGGGATTTTGAGTGAGTGAGGTGTCGCGGACGGGGACCCAGGAGGTGGATTGGGAATTCTAGGGAGTGTTATGGGGCTTGGGTGCTTCGAGGCCTCTGGGGCCGGACCTCACTGATCAACCCTCTTCACCCCGGTAAACTTGTTCCGGCAGCTCGAAGCCTAGCTGGGCCGACCAGGTGGAGGAGGAGGGAGAAGACGGTGAGTATGCCTAGTTGTCCCAGATCGCTGCCGCCAGCCCTCAGCCCCACTATTGCTGCCTGTCCCAACTCCTCCACCTTGGCCTTACCATCTGACCCCTCATCCCTCATCACGCTACACTCTGCGCCGCGCCTTACTCATCTGGGTCAGCCTGTCTCGGGTTCCAGATGCTCATTGGCCGGTCCTCTTCCTCTCCTGCTGCCACGAAGGCTGCTCCTCTTTTCCTGGGAGGAAGTTGTAACAGCCGGCCTCCAGCCTTTTACTAGCACACTGATCCCTTTATGATCTGCAGGAAACTCCTCTCCTGTCATTGCCCAAGCTTGCAGCAGCCACCTCCGTGTACCCCCAGGACTATCCCAGGGTACTTATTCTCGAGGCCTCTACCTTTGGTCCCGTCTTCCTCAGCTGATTCCCTCCTCTCCACACTAACTTTTGCAGACAAATGTGTCACCAGCGAACTCCTCAAGGGAATCCCTCTGGCTACAGGTGACACCAGCCCAGAGCCTGAATTACTGCCGGGAGGTGAGTGATGACTTCCATATCATCCCTGGGCTGTCTCCCTAGCTGCATCCCACTTGGTAGGTACCCAGGGTTCAGTTCCCGCACACCTCTTTCCTCTCCCAGCTCCACTGCCGCCTCCCAAGGAGGTCATAAATGGAAACATCAAAACAGTGACTGAGTACAAGATAGATGACGATGGAAAGAAGTTCAAGGTGAGGTTGGGAGAGAAGGTGGATGCCTTCCACTTTGGCTGGGAGGGTCTGGGGTGTTTTGGGTTAGTGAGGAAGATCTGGTCCCGGAGCCCTGAGCTGCTGCATCCTTTCCCCTTCCATCCACAGATTGTCCGCACCTTCAGGATTGAGACCCGGAAGGCCTCCAAGGCTGTTGCAAGGAGGAAGGTAAGACCTGGCTCCCCCTATTTTAGGGACTCCCCCAGGGCTAATTCAAAGGAATCAGAAATTATTTTTCCTAGTTAGTACTTTTATTTTTAGACTTGGGGTGTAACTGTTTTTACTTACTTTATTGGAGCAGAACTGAGATCTAGGGATATCTGTATTCTGTTGGGGCCCTGAGAAATCTAGGATGCAGGAGTAGGTGGGGTTAGATTCCTATTCCTTTCGTCTTGTCTACCAGTAGGAACCAAGTTAAGCCCTCCCCTGAGGTGGTTCTTTCAGAAGACATGATAACAATAAGTAACATTTGCATTTTCTCTGTGCCAGACTCCGACCAGGAGCTTGCCAGGAAATATCTTCATTTAATCTCCTTAGCGCACCAGGGAGGTGGGGAGCATTGTTGTGCTCATTTTGTCAGAGACAAAACTGAGACTCAGGTTATTAATTCAAGGCTTCTTGAAGCCTGAGTGATCTCTTCACACTCCTATGTATTGAGTCCTGGTGGGAGCTAGTCTGCAGTCGGTGTGGGCCCACTCCCACCACTGGCACAGAGTTGTTTCCCCCTGGGCCTCAGGCCTCATCTGGAACATGGGCTGAGAGCTACCCTTGCTTCTTAGAACTGGCCTGAAGCTAGGGCCTGTCACATACTCAGGAAAAGGAACTGTCATCATCACTGCTGTGGAGGGGTGTTTGAGGAGGGAATAGGGTTCAAAACTCAGACACTTGGAAGGCTATTGCAGGTCTGGGGTGCCAGTGGAGAGGGTTCCACCTGCCCTTGCCCTGACCTGCCTGCATCCTTCCCTCAACCCAGAACTGGAAGAAGTTTGGAAACTCAGAGTTTGACCCCCCAGGGCCCAATGTAGCCACCACCACAGTCAGTGATGATGTGTCCATGACTTTCATCACCAGCAAAGAGGTATGTGGGACAACGGGTGGGACCAGGGGCCAGGGTGGTGGTGGCAGGGTGTGGCAGCCCCCTCTGAACTGTCCCTACCCATTTTGCCAGGATCTAAACTGCCAGGAAGAGGAGGACCCAATGAACAAGCTCAAGGGCCAGAAGATCGTGTCTTGCCGCATCTGCAAGGGTGACCATTGGACCACCCGTTGTCCTTACAAGGACACACTGGGCCCCATGCAGAAGGAACTGGCTGAGCAGCTGGGCCTGTCCACTGGCGAGAAGGAGAAGCTGCCTGGAGGTGCCAGGGTCTAGGGATATGTGTGCGCGCGTGCATGCGTGTGTACTTTCGCGGTTGCTTGGAGAGTTCTGGGTTGCCACCTACTGTGAATGGGGCTGCCATTTCCATCACGGTATTAGCATGGCCATGGTTTGTGTTTGTGTGTGAGGGGCACTGTTAGGGGCTGTGAGAACCATGCCTGGGCACACTGCACGTGGGGGTGCTTGTCCCCTATATGTGTCTGTGTGATCATCCTGACTTAAGCATGCCCTGTTTGTCTGCCATGGCTGCAGTGAAGGTGTTAACTATGTGACCTTTATATCATCGCAGTCACTGGGCCTTGGAGAGACCAATTATGGACGCCCCTGGCTTGAAATATGGTTCCTGAGCTAGTGCTCGGGCACTCAGGACTGGAGCAGCCAGCATCCTCAGGCAGGTCTGTCCTTCCATCTGTTCAAAGTGAGGCTCAAGCCCACTGCTTTTGATTTCCAGAGCTGGAGCCAGTACAGGCTGCACAGAACAAGACAGGGAAGTATGTGCCACCAAGCCTGCGGGACGGGGCCAGCCGCCGTGGGGAGTCCATGCAGCCCAACCGCAGAGGTGAGGCAGGGAGAGCACCCTGGTGCCAGGCTAGTGGGCGGGCATCTCCCCACACTCTGTAATTATCCCACGGGTGGGGCCAGCCTCTCACAGCTGCCTCTTCCTGTCCACCTAGCGGACGACAATGCCACCATCCGTGTCACCAACTTGTCAGAGGACACGCGCGAGACTGATCTGCAAGAGCTCTTCCGGCCCTTTGGCTCTATCTCTCGTATCTACCTGGCGAAGGACAAGACCACTGGCCAGTCCAAGGTGGGCTGGTGGCCATGGGGGTGGAAGGGATCGTCTGTTACGGCTACACTCTGACCCCACTGCCTTCCCCAGGGCTTCGCCTTCATCAGCTTCCACCGCCGTGAAGACGCTGCACGTGCCATCGCCGGAGTGTCTGGCTTTGGCTATGACCACCTCATCCTCAATGTTGAATGGGCCAAGTAAGATTCCCATACACCCCCGCCCCTGTCCCCCCAATCACCGTGTCACATCTGACACTTGGGCAGACCATGGGCTCCCCTGCACTTTTCCTAGTCAGCAAGCCTGTTCTGAGGTGCATTGTTTATTCTTTGCATCTCAAGGAGGGACCTGTTCTCCATCCGGGCATGGCTGCTCCCCAGTCTGACTCGTGCCTGTGCCACCACTCTGTCATGTCTTGTGCCATACTTCCACCTGTGTTGAGACCCCGCTTGTGGGTGGTGGGCACCTTGGGATTCCTTTTGGGGCCTGGAGCCACCCTGCCATCCTCACTGTCTTCTGTCTCCTCTAGGCCATCAACCAACTAAGCCATGCCTGCTGCTTGGCCCTAGGCCCCTGGACCCTGTGGTGACGGAAGACATCGGTCGACAACAGGCGACTTTGAGGGCAATAAAAAGGCTTCAGTTGGCCCTATGCTGTCCTGTTTATTCATGGTTGTCACCCACCGGGTTGTGGGCAGGGTCACCCTTCCCCATCTCTCTGCTGCCCCGAGTTGGACTGACCCTACCCCGGCTTAGGGCGTTGGGCAGAAATTCCTGCCACTCTGCTCTGGACTGATAGGTCCCACCACAGGCCTTTAGGGGAGGAAGTGGTGTCTTGGGGCCTGCTGTGTTCTCTGCTCCCCCTTCAGAGTACCTTGTGAGGAGGAAGCTACACATGGTCCAGGTCACTGACTCAGCTTAGGGACTGAGGCTGTGCAGATTGGGGGGCAGCCGTAACACCAAGAGACAGGGCTTGGCTGGAGCTCTTAGTGTCTTCTGGGGTTTGCCTCCTGATGCAGCTGAGGCAGTGTTGGCGGCAGGAGCCCAGGCTGGGTGCGACAGCCATGTAGAGCAGTGGGTGGATGCAGATGGCCAGGGGTATGAGGCCTCGTGCAACTTGATGACTCACGTAGGTCCCCCAGTCCAGCTCCTCCATGGCCTGGGCGTTGTTCACAAAGTCTGGGCAGCGGGCTCTCCACTGCTGCCGGGCATGTATGTTGAGCACCCAGGTGACATAGTAGGGCACATAGGAGCTAGCATAGAGGACCACTCCGCTGGCTACCAGCACTGCTACCCGCAGCTTCTCAGCCACCGTCATGCTGTGGCTGTGCAGCAAAGCATGCCCAAGGGCGCTGTAGGCCACCAAGGTGAGCAGCAATGGCAGGCCACAGCCCAGTGTTGCCAGCACCAGGCTGTAGGCTCTGTAGGCCTCCAAATGGTTGTCATCTGCTGTCCCCAGGCATTTGATGCAAGCCTCAGGCCTATCCACGGTGCAGTTGCCTTCTTGTGGCCCCTTCAGATGGGAGAAGCTGAGTGTGGGAGCGGCCAGCAAGGCTGCCACCACCCAGCCAGCAGTACTGATGGCCCAGGTGTGCTTTGGCTGCAGACGGCTGTGGGTAAAGAAGGGGTGGACGACACCCAGGTAGCGGTTGAGGCTGATGCAGGTAATGAAGATGACACTGCCCAGCAGGTTGCAGGTGAAAAGGAAGCGCTCCAGGCGGCATGCAGCCTCCCCGTAGCGCCAGTGCTTGGGGGGGTAGAAGTAGGCAGCCAGAGGGGGCAGCGTCAGGGCATAGAGCAGGTCACTGACAGCCAGCTGGACCAAGAAGACCACAACTGGGTGCCATGGGCGTGGCTCCCTTGTGCTGAAACGGTATAGGGCCAGGCCATTGCCAGCTAGGGCTACCAAGAACTCAGCCAATAGAATGGGCCACAGAAATTTTTCCTGGACCTCATGGAGGGTACGATCAACAGGTGCTGAAATGTTGACTGGACAGGTTGTGGCACCTGTGGGCAGAGGGTGTCATGGGTTGAATCCTCTTGTCACTGCAGCACCTACTATCTTCAGGGCCCAGTAGCACCAGGCCTCTAAACGTGTATGCTGCATGCCCCTTTTGTGCAGACATTGGCCAAGTCCTTCCCACCCCCAGGAGGGACACTAGCCTCAGTTCCTTACAAAAGGAAACAGACCTAGAAAAGTCAGAACCCAGATTTCTTCAACTGACATTTGTTAGGCACTCTCTGGTCTTGCACCCTCAAAACAATTGGGGCAAGGACTGGAGGTCGCTGCCCTGCAGGATACATGTAACCAGGCAGTGATGACCCAGAACATCAGGCCTGGGGTGGAGATTCAAGAGTCCTGAGACCACAGAGTCCAAGTCCACTCCATCTGCCGTTCTTGCTGCCTCCATCACCAGTTTATAGCACCTGAGCTCAGCCCGCACCTTGGCCAGCACAGCTTCAGAACCTACCATCCCCAATGTGGCAGTTCTATCATATCTGCCGGTGTGGCAGCTCCCCCATAGCTTCCAGGGAGTACCACTGAGCACCAAGTCAGGTCACAGCTGACTGGCAGAGCCCTGCAAGACTCACTCCTGACTCAGAGGAAAAACAGGCCCTCACAACACACATCCACGCACACCGCCTCCCACAAAGCCTTGCAGATCTCTTCCTTTGAGCGACACTCCCTACATTCCTTTCTTCCTATACTGGCTTCTTGGCTGTTCTTAAGGCACATCCTGCTAGAGGGCCTTTGCATTGGCTTTTCCCTTTGCTTGAGTCACTATCACAGCCATTGTTGACTCCCCATCTGCTAGGTCTGGTGCTAAAGGCCCATTCTCAGCACTAATTAGCCGTTGTGCATCCCTTATTCCCCTTTCCTGCTTATTTCCTTTCCACAAATCTCCATCAATCTGTAAGGAAAATCCACAGGAGAACATCACTGCCTGGTGACAGGGGGTACCCTGCTACAGGTTCCCCAGTGTCCAGAACAGTGCCTGGGACACAGTGGCAAAGAGGAGAGCAGGAACCTGGAGTTGATTCCCTTTCTTGCACCCTTTCAGCAGTTTTCTGAGACATGGCCAACCCCCAGTTCAGCAGGTGAAGCACACCTGCCCTTCCCCTCCCCCACCACAGGCCTCTTCAAGGAGTCCAGATGTGACCCTTAATCTGCCTCCATCCACTTCTATAATCCTGACCAAACCGCAAGGGCCCTGCTCCTCACCTGAGGTGGCTGCCGCCATGGCCTGCACTGTCCCGACCCGTGGGATTCGTAGGCACGAAAAGAGAAGGGCTGAGGATTGAAATGAGGGGCTTGAGACAACTTGACGCTAGCGTTTGCTTCTTTATTTTTCCTTTACCTTTCTTTTACTTTTCCCTGTCTTTCTACCTTCCCTGACCTTCTCTCTGCTCCTCTCACGGTAACCTCTCGCAATAACCTCCCGACCTTCTCATGGTTCTCTTCTTCTATCCTGGTAGCTCCTCCCATCGTACCTCCCAGTCGCATTTGATCAACAGGAAACACCTGTGGTTTCTCAGCAGGCGAAACGTGAAGCGAAACTTAATTGATGGCACGTGTTGCGCAACACTGCGCATACTCCAGGCGGCTCCGGACATCTCCCCCTTTTTTCTTTTAAATGAGACACCTGGCCTGTCTTAGGTTGGCACATTCCGTGACCAGCCTTACCTATCATCGCTAATCCGGCGCACTTGGTCTGGACCGCTGTCTTAGGTTGGTCTGGATGGGCTACGCTCTTACCCGTCTTTGGCTCTCAGGTTCTCTAGGGCTAAGTTGACCCATCTGGATGCCACTGGGGAGTCCTGGTCAAGTACCATGGCGCCAAGTACTTGCCTGACCGCAATAGCACGTTCTTTGTTTCGCTTCCGTAGCCGACGGAGAAACCATATGCCGAACGCACAAACAGCAACTCTGGGAGGAGTCCTCTAAACCAGGCAATGAGACCCTCATTCGTAACAGGGTAACCCGAGTGTTGTTAACAGTTATGAGCTGTCTCGCCAATTGAGCAGTCATGTTCAGGAGCTGGTGGTTCCAAGGTCCTCTGATTACACTATTTAACCTATTTACTTCCATAAACATATTTTTCACCATAAAGGAATTACACAAATAAAACTGTACAAAAAGTTACAATGCATGTGAGCGGTTAACAAAAGTGTGTCTATCTCTTTTTACATCAGCTATCTGCTAATTAAGCATCAAAAGTCCATTTCGTAAATGTTCATTCATATCTTGCTATGTTGATAACACAAAAGCAACATTGGCAACTAAATTGTTTATAGTGTTAGTATTTGCAGCAGCTTGAATGACAGAGACAGCGGCAGCAGCCGCAGCCACGGCCACCGCTATTGAAACAGCAACAACAGCTGCAGTGATGCCAAAATCACGTCTCCTCCTAGGTAGAACAGGAAAAGGAAAGACGTGCAGAAACATCCACGGGCATGATTAAAGTAGAAGGCAGATGAACGATCACTGCCCTCTCCGCACTCCGTGTCCAGCAGGCAGAGAGGGCGCAGGGCTCCACTGAACAGTTCAACACAGTTGCATTTCCTGCATTATTGGAGAGGACAAAAAAGAAGAAGGGGACAGACAGCAGTAGACAAATTCTCTGATCTATTATTCTGGATACTAACAGATTGTTCAATGGTAGAACTAATGTTTGCAGAGTAAATGCCACCAAATAATTTCACCTCACCCTGACCCAACAGGGCACCATCCAATGACTTGGAAGCCAGACCAGCAGTAAGATTAGTGGCAAACACTTGCGGAAAAGTGGAATCATGACGATCAATGAGGAGCAAAAAAGGCAGCCGATGCACAATCGCCCAACATACTGACATCTGGGACGCTTGTGTCATCAAGGTTAGCAGGGTCAGGTATATTGACAAACCAAACCAATCGAGCAGGAACCCATCGGGGCGCTTCCGCATCCTGTGGGAAAAGACAAATGCTGCCGGGCAGCTGTATTAGTACTGGTGCGGGTGGTTGCCACTCATTATTGACCTGGTCCTTCCATCTCGCCATATAAGCGCTGTGGGAGTAAGGTTACTACAAAATACCAAAACATCAAAAGGGCGAGAGACAGACAACCTATTTAAGGTCACCTGGGCTAGAGTCTTTTTGACTCTAGTGATCGCTTCACGAGCCTCCTGCGTAATGGCTCGTTACCTAGAATTCGGCCAGCTGCAGTCATCAATCTTGCTAGGAACTCCGCATATGGTTCTGTTGACCCTTGAATGACCTTTGTTAATTGAATGTCAGCTCCTCTCTATTGCCTATTGCCTTCCAGGCTGACCGTCCAGCTGCTGCAACTTGGGCAAATACAGCCGGATCATAATCCTTTTGTCGGTCGTTACTATCGTATTGCCCTTCTCCTGCTAACATATCCTTGTTTCTAACCGGAAATCCAGCATCACCATTGAGTTTAGCTGTATGGGTGCAGTTCTCTAAAAATATACCTTTCCATACCAAATAATCCCCTGGGGAAGTCACCGCTCTGACTAGTGCCTTCCAATCATTAGGAGTCGGATTCATGCCGATCCAGCTATCCAATAAGGTATGCGTAAAAGTGCTCTGGAGGCCATACTGAGTAACTGCCTCCTTTAACGCCTTCAAAAATTTAAAAGCTGTGGAGACATGTACTCTAGTACGCACCCCTTGAGGATCTGTCCCTTTCACGACTGGATAAGCATAACTAGGAGCCTGGGAAACCAGGACTCTTTCCATCATAGAGCACAGTCTTTCCATTAACGGAAGATCAACCCTGTCGAGTGTTCTAGGAGGTGGCTCCCCAGGTGTTTTCCATCTCCTTTTACGCTTCCCTGGCTTGTAACAACCAAGGCCTTCCTTATCCTGTTCCTCCTCTCCTCCCGACTCATTGGTAGAATAATCTAGGGGAGGGGCTGTTGGTATTTTTTGAGTAGCGGAAGGGGGACTTACCAATGTAGAACTCACAATGGAACTTCTATCTTCTTCCTCCGATTGTTTCACGATCCTGACGGCCTCAGTGGCTAACTGAGCGGCAGCAGTGCCACTGGCATTAAGAGCATCTCCCACCACTCCCCAGACCGTCAAAGTAGTGCCAGGAAGAGACTCAGTACCATGTAATTGCTGATGTAAGACGATACCTCCTTTCACCTTATTCCAGTTGGCACTATCGACCTGATCCTGCTCCAGAAACCACTTACTAGTGATACTAAGAGTCTCTACAAATCCTTTAAGAATTTTTCTACTGAGAGGAACCCCAAACTCTTTTAGGAGAGCTTCCAGGGAAATAACTAACTGCCCCTTGGACATTGAATTGCCCATGATCCCAGCTACCTTACCTTACTTTACTTGCCGGCTCACCACAGCTGGTTCTTCAGCGGTTCCTTCGTTCTTTTTCGTGCCCCACGTTGGGCGCCACCTGTCCCGACCCGCGGGATTCGTAGGCACGAAAAGAGAAGGGCTGAGGATTGAAATGAGGGGCCTGAGACAACTTGACACTAGCATTTGCTTTTTTTCTTTTCCTTCTTTTACTTTTCCCTGTCTTTCTACCTTCCCTGACCTTCTCTCTGCTCCTCTCGCAATAACCTCCTGATCTTCTCGTGGTTCTCTTCTTATATCCTGGTAGCTCCTCCCATCGTACCTCCCAGTCTCATTTGATTAACAGGAAACACCTGTGGTTTCTCAGCAGGCAAAACGGTAAAGCGAAACTTAATGGCATGTGTTGTGCAACACTGTGCATGCTCCAGGTGGCTCCAGACACTGCACACCCTGCCTTCAGGTCTGCTGTCCACTCCTGGCAGAGGTGCTTGCCTCCCTCTCAGCAACTCTGCTTGCTCCTCCTTCCGAGCAATGCCACACCCACTGGCAGAGCTTCCCCATCTTCCTTCCTCCTCGCACACGACCTGTCTCACTTGGAGGGAGAGTCCTGGCCTGATGGGGAGGGGCCAATACCTTAAAGCAGCACAGACCAAGGGTCCTCTGGTGACTGTGCTCCCCTCTGTAACAAGGCCCTATCCAGGGTGGGGGAGGCAAGGTCAAACTTTCAGGTCAAGGCCCCAGCCCCTCCATCCCAAATGCAGGCTAGACACAGACTCCTGTGATGCCAGTTGTTTATTGGAGTGGGAGGTTGGGGGAAATATCCTTTATGAAAGGAAACTGAGAGCTGTTCCTGGAGACTGTAGGAGTCCAGGGCAGCGTCTCTCAGGCCCCAATCTGGGGCGTTCCACGAGCTGCTCTGCTCAGACTCAAGGTGCTTTCTTAGAAGGCCGCATGTGACCTTGGCCACGTCTCTGGTCTCGGGCAGCCCTCCGGGGTCTGCCCTTAGCCTTTGGAGGCCTCCGGTCACCCCCTTGGTCCAGCCTCTGCTTCTTTACCCGCTGCTTTTTGCCTGGGGGCCAGGCAGGCTGTCTCTTCTTGGCTGCTGTTGGGAACATGTCTGTGGGGAAAATCTGTGTCAGGGCTACAAGAGCATAGGGGCAGGCCCAAGGTACTTAGTTGCACTGACCACTGCCACGCACCCTCATCAGGTTCCTCGCCCACCGCCTGGCGGAAATACTCCAGTTCATCCTCCTCTTCCTGCGGGCTGGCCCCCTCTGCCTCAGGAGGAGCCCCGGGGTCCTCAGCATCACTGTCCCCGTCAGCCACCGTTGCCTTCTTCATGCCTGCCAGACTCTTCTTCCTGGAAGGAAAGGGGGCACTGGTCAGTGTGGCAGCTGATACCTGGAACCCATCTTGCCTGCTCATCCGGTGGTCACACACTTGTGGGCCTCTCGCTGTTCCCGTTTGCGTTGGACGTTCTGGGCTTGCTGGTCTTGCCTCTGGGCCTTGAGTCGCAACTTCTCCTCCTTGGCTGCCAGGATAGCCTGCAGCTCCTCCTCAGTCTTGTGCACTAAGCAGAAAGACAGTTCAACAAGATCATCAAGATCTGGATCTGTGTCCCCGCTGTACCTGTAACCCATCTTGGAAGACCTCAGACCCCAGGTCCCAGTCTCACCAAAACTGTGGAACAGCACATTCCCCTCCCCAACGCCCTCCTGGATCTTGATGAGCTGCAATGTCATTCGAGGGCCAATCTGCAGGGACACGGTGTAGAGTCAGTATTCCTTTGGGGCTGGGAACTACCAGAGGAAGCCCTTGGGCCAGCCCTGTGGGGCCTCACCTCAGTGAGCCGGACAGCACTCTGCTGTGCCCTCATGTTGCCTCGCCCGGCGATGGCCTGTGGCAGCTCAGTGATGTTATGCTCACCGTCTGGCTCTGCCTCGCTCTCTGACAGCCCTGCACCCCTGCACAAGGGACACCTGGGGCTCAGCAGGGGACCCAAGCTACTTGGGACAGCTCTGGGGCCCCTGCCCCACACCCTCCTCACGTGGCCAGCAGCTCGCTGATGTCCTGAAGGCGGCTCATGTTGGGGAACTTTTCCTGGAGAAGCTTCTTCATCCCACGACTTGCACCCACGGGGACGACTTTGATGCTACTGTGGGACCGATGTGAACATGGAACAGAGTTAGGGGCTGTGGAGTGGAAGTCAGCTTTACCCCTTGCCCAATTCTTGGGTGCGTCAGGGCGTTTACTTTGAGACTAAGCTATCACAAGGTCTCAGGAGCACAGCATTGTCATCAGTCGCACACAGGACACCCTCCCCTCCCCTGCCCAGCACTCACTAGTGACGGAAATCCAGCTCCTGGGAGTCAGGGTTGTAGTTGATGAGAAGGCAGCGTTTGATAGTGTTGAGGTTCACCTGGGAAGAGTGGGCATAGAACGTGAGCTGCCCAGGCCCCACTAGTTCAGGAAGCCACGCCACAAAAATCTCATAGCAGGGTGGGGAGGGGTGCTGCTAGCTCTGTGGGAATGGATGGAACTGCATGCATGTCGTGAAGTGCCTGCAGCCCTGGTCAGAAATCCTGGCTCTCGGACCCACTGAGGTGGCTCACAACTGCCCTAGTTTGAGAGCTGGTACCAGAGATTACAAACTGTGGGGCTCTGAAGCCATATTAAAATGTCTAGTCCTGGGCCTCTCCTGATGGTACAGGTGGTTGAGTGCTGCGCTGTGAAGTTGTCCGCAGCCTCTGCAGCGCCAGTTCGATCCCAGACAGCCGGCGAGGGTCCCACATGGTGCGGCAGACCTCTCCTGTCTCGCCTGCTGCTCCCCTCAGCAGTGTATTTCATCAGTCTGCCTGTTCTGTTCCCTGCTCTGTCTCTGGTGAATTCTCTCACCCTCCCGCGCATCTGGCCTGTATCCCGGTTCTTGTATAAATAAAAAAATAAATAAATCTTAAAAAAAAAAAAAAAAAAAAAGTCTAGTCCTTCCTCATTGCTTCTAACCTCAAACTAAACTAATGACTATACCTCAGTTTCTCCCTCTGTAAGTGGGGAATAGGGCACCGGCATCAGTTTCTATCTGAGGGAAACTTTTGTCTATCATGGGCCCTATGATGTGTCTTTCCAACCCACCCTCCATCTGCCACACCCAGCTCACCTTGTGCACATTGATGGAGGGAAACAGGTTCTGAAACATGGTGGCCATGAGCTTCACATGCATGCCATGGGGGCCAAAGCTATTGAGCACCAGAAGGGGTGGGTGGGAAAACTGTTGTTCGTGCATGCGGTGCCGTCGCAAGGAGGAGACCACATCCCGTACCAGTGTGTACTGTGGGGCAGGGTAAGGAGTGGAGATGATCAACACATGGTGAGCATCACTCCCAAACCTAGTTCCTACCCACATGGATCTTGTACTACCCCTTACCTTGTTGATCCGGAAGGTCAAAGTGGGGCCTCCTGGGAGGCGCATCAGTTTCTGCAGAAAAAGAAAGGATCAGTGGAGTTCCAGGGGGTCCAGCTAGGGAGCAGGGGAACCCCTGCCCCATCTCTTCAGAGCGTTTACTTTGAAGCCAGTATCACAGCAGTTCAGAGGCACACAGATTCATCATGAGTTGGGGACCAAGTGGGGTTTGGGGGGAGATGAAGGGTGGAGGGGGCCACTCACAAAGTAAATATTGGTTTCCGTTTTGCTCAAGATCAGGAAGTGTGTGACCCCAAGGGGTCCAGCCACTGCCACACAATCCTTCAAAGAGTTTTTCTTCCGTACCTGGGAATTTCAAAAATAAAAACGGGTAACCAGAAACAACCCCTTATTGAGCAAAGAAAGAGTAGCGTTAACGCAGACTTGAATTTGAGAACCACCTCCTTGCTTACTGTGCATCTCCCCATTTTGCAGGTGAGCAAACTGAGGCCCAGCGAGGTTAAGCTGCTGGCAGGGAGCAAGAAGCAGCTAACTTTCCTACCGAACGTCGGAAACTCGAGTCCCTGCTTTCACCATTAGCAGTAGGCACCCAGTCAAACCCCAAGTAGGGGGCATTCATCAGGGCGCCCTCACTGCTGCCCTACAAAGTCGAGAGCGGGGACAATGGTCCCCATCAAGGTCCCTTTCTCCAGCCTGGGGGATGAAGCTTCGCGCATACCGCGGTTGGAGTCAGCGCCGCAGCCGCGACGGCAAAGTCGGCGGTGAGGGGAGGTGGGCTGGGTGGTGCAGACCTGCAGGCGGGTGGCGGTGAGTGGCTCCATGACCCGCCGCAAGTCCAGGCTGAGCTGCCGGATACCGCGACCCGCGCGGCCCCGAGCGAACACGAACGAGTGCGGCTGTGCGGCGTAGGCTTCAAGGTTGCGCAGTTGCGCCTGGGCTCGCGCGCGCTTCTGGTGCCGAGACTGCAGGGGTGACGCGAGAGCAGTGAGCGCCGCAGTGGGCTCCGCGCGGCCCCCACCCGCGCCGCCCGCCTACCCCGCCGCCGCATCTCACCCGCCCCGTCTGCCCCATCCTGCCGCGTCCTCCACGAGGTCTCCACCACCGTGGCCTTCCGGCGCCGCTCAGCTCACTTCCGGCGCGGGCGAGGTGATCACGTGAGGCGCCACCCAGCGGTGATGTCAGGAGGCAGCCTGCGCGTCAGGCCCGCCTGCGGAAAAAAACTTTGGAGCGGTTGCTGTGGAGACAGCTGTTGCTATGGTGCATGTTTCTACGGAAACCGGGGCGGAGCCGCGCCGCCTCGGGAGCCCGCGCGGGCCTTGCAGAAATGAATTGAAGGTTCAAATCCCTCCTTGGCCAATTTCTACGACTGCGAGTTTGAGAACTGCTTTCCCTTCTCCTTGTTCCTAAAATATCCTAAAGTGAAGCAGGTAATTATTTCCCTTGTGAACCACAAATTAAGAGCCATAACGTAGGCACACTAGCGCCAGGCACTTGTGGGGCAATCAAAGGAGGGGTAGCAGAGGGTAGCTACTTCACTTGGGCCCCCAGCCCCTGCGGGTCAGCTGTCTTCACCCGGGAGCCCTGTATGTGGACTGGCTGAGAGATGGAATCTCCACATCATCTGGAAACTCAGGGCAGGAGTTGCGCTTTGTGAATAGTTCACCTCCTCCTGGTTTCTGCTGAAAACCCCAGTCTTGGCTTTGGGCCTCTTGCTTCTACCCCAGAACCTTGTGGGGGGAAAGGGAGGAAGGGATCTCCCAACATCTCTCTCCTTGTCCAAAATGTTTCCTTCCTCAACTGCCTCCTTTCCCCATCCATCTCCCTTCCCAATTCTTTCTCATTTCCCCAGCTCCCTCTCCCTATTGTGTCTGGACTTCTGTCTCCCACTCCCCCAACTCTGACACCAACCATCTTTTTACTTGCCTATAAATTTTCATCCTATAAATTTTCATCTTTTTCTTTTGTATCTTGATCCTTATTTCTTGTCTCACCTCTCCGTGATTTCCTCATGTCTCTCTCCTTCTCTGTGTCTCTGACTCTCTCTTCCTTCTGTCAGCTCCTCTGCAACTTAAGCAGTTTCTTTTCTCTGCTGCCAATTGGGGAAATTGGAGGGAGCTGTGAGTTGGGGACCTGGGGGCCTAGGGACCGAGGTGGAGGGCCCAGCCCAGGCAGCCTCTCTCAGATCTGAGATGACCATTTCCTCTTTCAGCCAGGAGTCATCTTGGTTTTCCAGTGCAGGACAGTAATATCTGGGGAAAGGAAACTGCTCTCTGAGAGTGTGTCAGCTTGTCTTTGTACAGTCTGGAGATCCTGGGCCAGGACTCCTGGGAATTCTAGGTGAGTCTCTTTGTACTTCTACAAGATGACTGCAAGGTTACTTTGCCTGTTTTTGTCCCTGCATGATTTAAGCTGTTTGAGGATGTGACAATGTGTGGGAGAGAAATGGAACTGTGCGACTGTAGCGGGAGGGCCGTGTCAGGGTCTCCTTATGTGTCTGGTTTGTGGTTCTGTGCAGGCTACCATGTGATCCTGTGTACCTGGGTCTGTACAGGTATTTTCCTTTAAGTTGTGTGTGTATGTGAACATATTTTGAACACACAGTTGCTGCCCCCAGTAGTGTCTTTTTTTTTGTGGGACCCTCGCAGGCAGCGGGGGAACCATCCGGCGCTGCAGAGGCTGCGGGCAGCCTCGCAGCCCAGCGCTCAACCGCTGCGCCACCAGGGGAGGCCCCCCCAGTAGTGTCTTGATTATGTGTGTGTGCCAGGCAAGTCTGAGGAGACAGACAGGCAGACACACACACACACACACACACACACACACACATCTATCATTGCAGTGCCGTGTGCAGTGATTTGGGTATCTCTATGTTTGTCTTTGTGTCTGCATTGTTAAGGGCACAAGTGTATGTGTGACTGCTGTGGTATACATGTGCAAATTCTGAAGCCCAGTTATCTGAATTGAATGAACTGAGTCCCCTCCCCAACCCTCTCTGGCTGTGTCACCTCAGGCCCATCCCTTACTCTAAAGCTCTGTTTTCCCGCTGTAAAATGAGGGTCCATACAGAAGTCAGATGCACGTGAAGATTAGATGAGATAAAAGATATAAAGAGTTCAGAGCCCAGCCTGGCACTTAACAAATGCCACTGATGTTCCCGATGATGGTTTTCTGTGGGCAAGGTCTATGTGTCTGAGGCCAGAATCTCCCTCCTCCCCCCGTGTGCAGCCTCCCACGCTCTGTGCTCCACTGTGGGGGGAATATCCAGAGCACTGACCTGTGTTATCGGGTTCTGGTGGCCTGGGCAGGGGGGATCTGGCAATTCTGCCTCCGCTCTCACGTGGGAAATGCTAAATATTTACAGTTGGAGCTCATGGGCTCTAGTCCCAGGCTCCAGAGGGTGGGGGTGGTTCCCAAGCCTCCTCCCTCCTTCTCTCCTACTGGCCTCTCCCCTTCCCCAGCTCAGAGACCCCTGCCAGACCTGTGCCTCCAAACCAGACTTTTGGTACCGGCTGAGAGTCCCACTGGACACAGGGTCTTGGTTGTGAGAGGTGAGAGGGTGGGAGGGCAGGTGGAGGCTGATTCTGATGATTGGGAGGCCTGGGCCTCAATTTGGCTTGTGGGCACCCCAAACCTGCTCCTCCCCCTCCAGCTGAGTTCTTTGAAAGCAGTGTATGTTATGTATACTCTTTCTCCTGGGGGTGAGTCCATTTCTGTTGTGGGGACGTCTGCTGTCTTTGAGGTGGGTAAGGAGAGGAGCTTCCTTTGTTTGACTACTGTAGTTAATGTACTTTCCTCAGAACCTTCTCTGGCTCCCATCTTACTCCCAGAAAAAGCCCTAGTCCTCTCTGCAACCCACAAGATCCTGCCCTCTCTACCAGACCCCTCTCTGCCTTCACTTCCCCCACTCTCCTCCTGTTCACTCTGTTCCAGTCTTATCAGCTTCCCTGCTGTTAGAAATATCAACCTTAGGAATATCAACCAAGGTCCCAGCTCAGGTCCCTCTGCCTGGAATGCTTTTCTTCACCTTCTCTCTCTCTCCCTTTAGAGCTTTATCTTTGCTGAGGTGGCATCTCAGTGAGCCCTAATCACACTATTTAAAATACCCACCCCCTCCCCGGGATGGCCACCCTCTTTCCTCCTTGAGTTTTCTCCTAAGCTTTAACCACTCTGTGCCCTACCCACCATCTGTCTTCCCAGCCAGGATGTCAGCTCCATGAGGGCAGGGATTTTGTGTGTTGGTCACAGCTGTGTCCCCACTGCCTGGAACAGCTTTGGCACACAATAGATGCTCAAGGAATATTTGTTGCAAGTTTGAATGAGGCAATGTGTGGCTATAATGACTATAGGACTCGTGGCAACCAGGACTGGGGCTTTGGACTCAGTGGATCTTGGCACAGATGGGTGATATGTGGACAAATGTAATGTGTTCTGAGTGTTGGCAAGCGTACTCAGGAAGCTTGTGTTCCTGTCTGAGGGTATGAATCCTCAGGCATGAAGGTAATGCGGGTCCATGTGTAGACCCTTCAGGGCCGGGGGTAGGTGTCCACACATTCAGCCTTTGAGCGAAAGATTTGTGATCCAGGGAGCCCCTGGGGGGAGCAGCAGAACTTGGGCACGTGGGTGTTGGTGAGTGTGAGTGTGTGTGTGTGTGTGTGTGTGTGTGTGACTAGGCATTGTTTAAGGCACTGGGTATAGAGTAGTCAACAAAATCCAGACTCAACCTATTTCAATGGAGGAATTCAGATGATAAACACTGGCAAATAAATGAGGCAATTTCACAGTGAAAAACATGTTTGATAGGGAGTGTCTGGGAGGGGCAGCCCTAAATGGGGTAGTCAGGGAAGGCTTCTGAGGAGGGCACAGCTGAGCTGAGATCCATATTTGGGGATGTTCCAGGTGTGGAAACAGCCATTTCAAAGAGCCTGGGGCAGGACCCTGCCTGGTATGTTTGAGGGATGTCAAGGAGGCCAGCATGCCTGGATCAGTGAGACAGAGGCTTCTGGGGGGAGGTGAGGGGAGGCAGGGGTCTGGCAGAACTTGTCTTCAGGCTGTGGGAGGACTTCAGCTTCTCTTTAGAATGAAGTAGAAGCCCTGGAGGTACTGAGAAGGGGGAAAGGACCTGGCTTGGGTGTTCACAGGCATTTCCTGGCCATTGGAAGAGAAATAGCCAGAGGTTATAGAGGAAAGACTGGAGACCTGGGAGACAACAGCTATAAAGAAATCTAAATGCTGTCTAGAGCTGGAATCATGAGGGTGGTAAGTGGCGATGTGAAGGAATTTAGGGTCTAAACAGAAGTCCTGGTGGAGAGACTGGATCTGCTGTGAAGAGTAAACACAGGCCTCTCTGATGGCCTAGAGGTTAAGTGTCAGTGCTATCATCACTAGGGCCTGAATTCGATCTTGGGGCAGGGAGCTAACCCACATATGGCGCAGCCGACCTCTCCTGCTCGCCTGCTGCACCCCTTAGCAGTCTATTTCAGTAGATCCAAATATTATGCTCCCCTCTGTGTCACAGGTAAATCCTCTCGCCCCCCCAATCTCCGGCCTACACCCCAGTTCTTCTATGCACAAATTAATGTATATATAAAGAATAAACATGGATGACTGTGGGGGTTTTGGTTTGAAGAACATGCAGTGCCGATTACTGGACTGAATGAGACTTGCTCCACCCCATGTGCCCTGCTCTCACTCCTTCTCTCCCTACTTCTGCTCCAGCCTCACTCTACTCCCTTTAATACTTAAGCAAGCAGTCTCCAGCTTCTGGGCCTTCGCACTTCCCACCTGCCTGGGACACCATCCTCCCCCAGACAACCACATGGCTTCCTCCCTTATCTCCAGGTGTTTGTTCAAAAGTCACCTCCTCCAGGGGGGCCTGCTTCTGTCGAATTGCCATCTCTCTCCTGTTTTACTGTTGTTTTTAGCACGTAATACATCTACTACACTGTAATTATCCTATATTTTGTTCCTTGCCCACCAGAGCAGGGGTTTTTTTGTTGTTCCTGACTGTATCCCCTGCGCCTAGAACTGAGACCAGCACACAGTAAGCTTGTTGAAGGAAGCTGTCCAGCAGTCCTCCAGAAACTCCGTGGAGAGGCCAGAGTTGGATTCCACTGGGGTGTCTCCAGCTGCGGGAGGCGAGCGGGGGTGGGCGAGGAGGGTGGGGATGTGTGGGGGAGGTTTAGGATGGGGGAAAAGGGATGGAGGCGGACGTGTGGTGAATCCAGAGTCACGCTGGTGTAGACACTGGATCTCCGACGTGGGAGCAGATAGGTTTGGGCTGTGATGAGTTGGTGCCCGAGTCTGGGTTCCCCAATCCCCTTCTCATTTCGGTTCGTCCTCTGCCTGTAGGTCCGCCATGTCGGCGTCCCGGTTGCACACGCTGCAGCTGCTGTTCCTGCTGGGCACGTCGTGGGCGCGGGCAGGTGCCCCGCGCTGCACCTACACCTTCGTGCTGCCCCAGTATAAGTTCACTGGCGCCGCGTGCTGGAGCGGGCAGACGGCCGCGCACCCGGCGCCCGAGGCCATGAACGCCAGCGAGGTAGCAGCTCTGCGCGTGCGCGTGGGCCGCCACGAAGAGCTGTTGCGCGAACTTCAGCGGCTGGCGGTGGCCGACGGCGCCGTTGCCGGGGAGGTGCGCGCACTGCGCAAGGAGAGCAGCGGTCTGAGCATGCGCCTGGGTCAGCTGCGCGCGCAGCTGCAGCACGAGACGGGGGCGGAGCCGGGCCCGGGGGCGGAGCCCGCCGCGGCGCTGTCCCTGCTGGGGGAGCGCGTGCTCAACGCGTCTGCCGAGGCGCGGCGCGCCGCCGCCCGCTCCCACCAGCTGGAAGTCAAGTTTCGCGAGATGGCGCAGCTGGTCAGTCAGCAGAGTGGCCTCATCGCCCGCCTGGAGCGCCTGTGCACTGCGGGCGCGGGCGGGCAGCAGCAGGTAACCCGGAAGCCCGCTCAGAATCGCAGCACCTTCCGTGTGCTTCATCCGCGAGGCGGGCCTTTTGCTGCCCCAGGAGCTCTTATCTGCAGGTCCAAACCCGAAAAGCTCCCCAACCAGAATCCTGCCTCTCCTCCCGTAACTCATTTGGGTCAAAACACGACTGGGGGCTGCTTGAAAGTCATCTCCACTTCAAGTGAATATTCATAGAATGCTGTCATCAGGCATATTATGTGGATAAAGACCCGTGTTATTTAATGTACATACAGTCCCTGCATTACTGTTCCTAACTCCTGCCACGTCACCCAGAATTCTGGAATATGTCTGACTCTGCATTTTGAATAAGATGTTTTTCTGTGATAGTCTATCTTACAGGGTTTTTGGAAGTTGCTACTTATTTTTGGAGACTCATTATCAAACCTACTCTACAGAAAAGGAGTCAGAAGCATAGATCAGTTAAGCTGTGGACACCAGAGTGGGAATTTAAGCACCGCCCTTGACAGCTAATTAGGCTTTGGGGAGGATCAAAGGCTCTTGTCTGATGTACCGCCCATCTGACTGTGGGGAAATTTAGGAGCCCAGAGCCTTCTAGGCAAGGGTTAGTGCAATCACATTTGACTCTTGGTTACCCCAGGTCCTGCCACCACCCCTGGTGCCTGTGGTTCCAGTCAGTCTGGTGGGAGGCGCCAGTGAAACCAGCAGGAGGCTAGACCCAGTCCCAGAGTCCCAGAGAGACCAGACCCTGAGACAGCAGGGGCCCTTGGCCTCCCCCATGCCTGCAGGGCACCCTGCTATCCCCACCAAGCCAATGGGTAAGATGAGGGCAGGGCTGTTGGAGGCATAAGGAGCTGGGGATTCCCAATGCAGTATCAGTGGAGGAAAACAGGAGTCAGGATTTTAATGGCAGAATCCTCTCATGGCGAGGGAACTGGAGGAACTGATACTTTTATTCTGGTGGTGGAATGGGGAGCCATGGCCCTTATTCTGGTAAAGACCAAAATTCTCATTAGGATGTGAAAATAGGAGAGAAGATATTCTTATTTCATGAGGGAACAGTACATTTAAGACTGTACTTTGGTTGTAATATGAACTAGGTTAGAATGGCATGTTCAGGATTTCTATTCTGGTTAGATCATAGAACCAGGATTTAAAAACCACAGGCTCTAGTGAGAGAAGAGTAAACCAGAGTTCCAGAGTTTTAGTCAGATAAAGAAATGGATATTGGGGCTGTTGTCCTGGTGAGGGAATGGGAGAGACTGGACTGCTATTCTGGTAAGGTGATGAGTGAGGATCAGGACTCTTGATTGTTTGATTGGTCCAGGCTGTGTTTTCCCCATATTCCTGTGCCCACAGGCCCATGGCGGGACTGTGCAGAGGCCCACCAGGCAGGCTACACGCAGAGTGGAGTCTATGAGCTGCGACTGGGCCGGTATGTGGTGTCTGCATGGTGTGAGCAACAGCTGGAAAGTGGAGGCTGGACTGTGATCCAGAGGCGGCAAGATGGCTCTGTCAACTTCTTCACTACCTGGCAGCATTACAAGGTGGGTGTGGTTGGGTCAGGGCAGGGCTGAGTAGGGGAGGGGACCTACTCTTGACCTCCTGACTTTCTTGCCCTGCCAGGTGGGCTTTGGGCAGCCAGATGGGGAATATTGGCTGGGCCTTGAACCTGTGTATCAGCTGACCAGCCGTAGGGATCATGAGCTGCTCGTACTCCTAGAGGATTGGGGGGGACGTGGAGCACGCGCCCACTATGATGGTTTCTCCTTGGAGGCTGAGAGTGACCACTACCGCCTAAGGCTTGGCCAGTACCATGGAGATGCAGGAGACTCTCTTTCCTGGCACAATGACAAGCCGTTCAGCACCGTGGATAGGGACCGTGACTCCTATTCTGGTAAAGAGTGCTCTTATTCCGGTGGGAGGTGTCTAAGGGAGGTAGGATGCCTAATGAGGAATTGAATGGGAGTGGGGAAAGCCTTCCCTCTGGTAAGGATCAGGCTAAGCAGGTGAACAGAGGAGAGGACTTTTATTCTGATTAGAGAATGGAGTGCCCAGATTCCTTCTCTGATGAGGTAATTAGAGTCAGAACTCATGTTCTGTCAAAAGGTGAGCTAGCTAGCACTTAGAGAAAGAAAATAGAGACAGTCCTCTTTCTCTCCCCCAACCCACAACCCCCAACCCACAATGCAAGGTAGATCTCCTAGTTTGTAGAGGGTGGGAAACGTGGGACTCATGCTTTGATAAGAGAATAGGGAAGAAGTTAAGCTATTACTCTGAAAAAGAAAGTGGAAGCCAAGATTCTTATTTTGGTGAGGGGATCGGGAAATCAAGGCTTATTTTCAATAAGAGTGGGAAGGGCCAGAGGATGCCTGGTAAAAGCCTTGTACTAGTGAGGTGTTGGTAGAAACTTTTATTCTGGTGAGAGGACATGGACTCTCTCTCCCCTCAGGTAATTGCGCCCTGTACCAGCGAGGAGGCTGGTGGTACCATGCCTGTGCCCACTCTAACCTGAATGGTGTGTGGCACCATGGTGGCCACTACCGCAGCCGCTACCAGGATGGTGTCTACTGGGCCGAGTTTCGTGGTGGGGCTTACTCTCTCAAGAAGACCGCCATGCTGATCCGGCCGCTGAGGCTGTGACCATCTATCCCAGGAGACATTTGTCAGCAAGAACCCAAGTTCTCTTTGCCACACCTCCTCTGTGGCCCTCTGTGGGCCATGTCCCTCAGACCTTTCCATGTGGATCTGCTCCCCAGGGCCCTGAAAATGGGACCCAGGACTCCCCAATATCTCAGACCCAGACGTCTCCCCAAGGGCATTTAGATCTTGGTTTGAGCTCATATTTTATAACAACACAAAATATCCACAGACCGTGTCTGGTTTGCATCTGCACCCAGCAGGGGTCACTCCCCATGCCCGGCCTCCTCCTCCTCTTCCTCCTCCTCCTCCTTGAGGTCTTCCAGGATAAGGTTGTCCAGGTCATCGATGAGGCCCCCCTGGCTCAGGCAGGTGGCCACGGTGGAGCCACTGCTGATGTGGGGATTGCTGGGGTGCAGAACTTTGGGCAGATGATTCTGCTTCCGGCTCTTGGGGTGCGCACAGGAAGTCCCAGGCACATGGGGCTCTGGGAAGGGAGAGGTTCTGATGTCATGGCCTTGCAGCCACACAAGACTCTGGGGGCAAGGGAAGGGGCTGAATCCATATGGAATTTAGAGGTGAAAATCACAGGTGTCAAGCCACAGGAGACCCAGGATCATAGGTGGTACCTGAGACTATAGGAGACAAGACAATAGCCAAGAATGCAGACAGGCAGAGACTGTGGGAACACTGGGATGTGAAACCATGGAGCTTCAAGGGCAAGACCACAGAAGGTGACTGATGCTATGGGAAGTGGTTGTTAGGAGGGGCAGGTGACCTGGCAATGGGAAGCCACAGAGACTTAGGGGGTGGTGGAAGGCACAAGGAAGGGAGGCTGATGCCATGGGAAATAAAGTGGCCTCAGGGACCAAGGCCACAGGAGGAACATGGAAAAAGCAGGTAGAGACCTTGGTTCTCAAGGCCACAGAGGTATATGTCCCAGGAGTGAAGACCAAGAAGACCCCCTTGCAGATGGGGGAGGTCACTGGGATGCACTGGGACCTCACCTCGCCGGTTGTAGCAATCAGCAGCTGAGCAGGAGTGGGTATGGGTGCTGCGGCGATCCGTGTCTCGGTCCCAGCGAGGAGGGAGGATCCGTGTTGGAAACACAGGAAAGCCGCACCCGTAGCAGGGAGACGGGGACCCCATCTGTGCCCAGCCCCTGGGGGTGGGCAGGTCATGAGGATCCAAGGGTAAGGATGGGCTGGGTGGGTACAGGGAGAAACAGGGCTGGGGTGAGGGTAGGGTAGAGGGTGGTATGGAGGTAGGTGCCCTCACCGGAAGTTGTGCCGACACTTTGGGCAGTGGAACTCAGCCAGGCCCCACATCTTATCACATGGCACTGGCTCATAGCGTTTCCGGCATTTCCTACACCGGGATACCTGCAGGTGCAGAGAAGGGAACAGAGGTGATCCCAGTTTGATAGTGGCCATGGTGGGAATATTTACACCACAGAAATTAGCAAGTACTAATACACATCTGGGGTCCCCCACTCACAACAGTGATTAAAAAATTTACTAGGAGCACACCATTGGTAAGGGGGTTCTGAAGCCAGTTTTAGGGTTAGGTTTGATTTCAGTGGTAGCTGTCAAACTGTCAAGTCAGAGATCAGGCACTGACTGAGCTGCTCAAGTTGAAAGTCCCAAGTCCAGCTCCAAGCTCTGGGGTGGGAGGTGGAGTCTGAGGTGGAGGTTGAGCTCTGAGGGTGGAGGTCAGGATCTGGGTTCTCAGAGGTCTATGTTCAGAGGTGCAGACGATGAGGCTGGGGAATCTGAGTTTGGAGTGGAGTCTGGGACAAAGTCAGGGTCAGGGGCTGGATTATCACCTCCTTCCGCTGGGGCACACGGCGCCACCAGACATGATCACAGGAGGAGCAGGCGAACTGCCGGTCAACGGCAGGGATGAGGTCTTCCTGGGCACGTTGGAACATGCGTAGGTTGGCTTCCGTCAGGGGTAGGAGGGAGGTCGCCACTGCCTGCAGAATGGGGTGGTTGGGGATGAGAGGGTAGTTACCCTTCTTCCCAACAGACACCACATTCCTCCTCTCACATATTTGATCCCCACCTGCTCCTTCCTCCTCCTCACCTACTGATGCCCCCCACTCCTTCCCAAGATGTCCTCCCAGCTCCCCCTCCCCCATATCCTGGACTCACCTGGATATCCCGGTCCTGCTTCATGTCCTCTGGTGGGTCCTGGGTGGAGACACCAGGGGCAGAAACTGGGGATGCAGCTGGGACCTCTCTTCACCCTTGTTTGTTGGGGGAGGGGGTTGTGGAGGGGAGGCAGGGTCCTGGCCCCATGTGAAAGTAGGGTGATCCTAACTCATGAGATGATTGAGTAATACCCACTTATTGAGAACTGGGTGGGTAACCTCAGTTAACATCCTAGCAGTCCTGACAGGTGGGCACACCTGTCATCTTCATTGTTCAGATGAAGAAACAGGTCCAGAGCTCAGAAAGGGCTTGCCTGAGTGAGTGTGGCAGAGCAGGCCTGGACCCCATGCACCCTTCCTGTTGGCAAATAGCACACACCTGTTGGCACTGTGACAGCTCGCCTACTTGAGGCCCTTGAGGCCACTCTGCAAGTGCTTAGGCTCTGGATTCAGACAGATCCAGGTTTGAACCCTGGCTCCATCAACTCCAGCTGTGGGAACAAGGCCAAATCTCTCCCCCTGGGGCCCTAATGAGGAGCATCTCAGAGCCCAGGCTATGATTCTAGGTGGCCTGGGCTCACATCTCAGCTGCATCCTGCTTGATGCATGAACCGGGCAAATGATTTGACTCAGTGACTCAGTTTCCCTGTCTGTAAAATGGGGGGATAAATAATAGGACCTGTCTCATGGGGTTGCTGTGGTGATGAAATAAATCAAGAGAATTCTTGGAGTCCTGCCCCAAGGGAAGTGCTCAATCAGTGTTACTCTTTGCTATTATTTTTATCATACTCTTCATATGTATAAATGTAATACACATTCTGTATTATGTAACAACTTTAACAACTGTATACCATGCCTTTCAGGCAGGCGAAATCCAGTTTACCAGCCATCAAAGACATCTCAGGGGCAAAGTGGCCATGCTGCACTTGTGCTTCAAAGTCATTCATTCATTCATTCATTCAACACATAGGCTCCCTGTGCCTCTCTTCTCCCCCCATCTCCATCGCATCCCTGCCAGCCTATTTGTCCCTTTGCTTACACCTTTCCCTCTTCTAGGAAGACCCTTTCCGGCCCCTCCTCTTCCCAAGGATCATGCCTCCCCAACCTTGAAGAGTTGCTGCCATCTCCTCCAGGAAGCCTCACTGACCTCTAGGGCTCCTGATGATGATATTAATCCTGATTGTCTCACTGATTGTCTCACTGCCTAGTTTCACTGTTTGCAGGCTCCCTGGCTGGGTTTCTGACTGAGAGGTGAATAAGTGAATGAGACTGGACCATCAACTGTGGACTGGCAGTGTACACAGGGGGTTCACGCGAATAGGGTAGGTCCCTCTTGTTTTCCCTCCCCCTTTACCTGGTCCTTTGAAGGGGGGGCAGTTTACCTGGGCATCCAGGTCATTACTCAGTTCCTGTCCATCTTTCTGTTTTACCCCTGGTGGGGAGAGTAAGTGAAAGACCCTCAGTAAAAGTTATTAAAGTTGTTACATAATAAAGGGCCCTTGAAGGATCTTGTGGGAGTTTCGGGGCCCCCAGAGCCCCAATACAGATCTTCCCCGAGAGATGATCTCGAGACCTTTTCCCAGCCCTCAGCACAGACCACACCCCCACCGCACCGTCTCCCTCCCTCTTCGGTACTCCTGGGGCCCAGACCCCGGCGCGCTCACCGTACACAATGGAGCGCCCCACTCCAGTGTGGTCGCTGCCAAATTTCCTCATCAGAGTCCCCGCCTTCTTGGAGGATACCTTCCCATGAAACTTCTCCCGGAGGCGCCGGACGCTTTTTTCCAGCTGGGTAGGGGACAGAGGGTTTCAGAAGGAGGGAGAGGAGACTGCCCCTTCCCCATCTCTAGGCATCCCCCGCTCGCTGTGAACCCGACCCTTGCTTTTGGCCTCCGCAGCCCCCACCCTCCATCCCTCAACGGCATGTCATGGAAAAAGCCAAAGTCCCTAAGGGGCACTGGGGGGAGGAGAGGTCTGGGGCTCGCGTCCCAGGCGAAGGGAGGAAGCCGGCCAGGTAATCCCTGGCCTCTGACCCTTGACCCTGCAGTCTCCGTTTTTTCATCGAGGAGGCCGCATTTCGCTCTGGGGGATGTGGCAGTCGCTCTTCTTTCCGAACGGGGCAAGCACCCACCAGGGCGGAGGTCTGAGCTTCGGGTGCAGTACCCAGGAATTGAAGCCCCTGCGCGCCCCCGGCCCATCCCCAGCATCTCTCGCGGGACCCCGGCCCGGTCGTGGGCATCTCCTACCTCCACACCTTCCTGAGACATGGTGGCGGCGGCGGCGGCGCGGGTCCCCGAGAGGGTCCGCACTGCGCGCTCAGCGCCCCCCGACCAGGGCGCGCCCCGCGGTCCAGCAGTCGCGCAGGGCAGGGGGCGGGGCCTCAGGCCGGCTCCGCCCTTCCTTCCTGGCCCCCTCTTTCGCTTTCGATTCCGGGGGTGGGTGCTCCAGGCGCTCTGGCTCCGCCCTGTCTCCGCCTCTGCTCTTGCGCCCCAAAACACTGCGACGCCGGGGGTCTGCACCCTGCAGCGGAGCGCGCAGACCTCGGGCGCGGGAGGCGGCGCGGCCTCTGCAGTCGGTCACATGTCCCCACGCTGTGCGGGGTCCGCGTCTGCACGTCCCTCGCGGGGGCGGGGCGGCATCGCGGGCGGCGACGAGGCTCCGCGTTCCCCCCAACCCCGGAGGGCGCCCCCCCTTCAGGAATCTGGCGCTCATTGGGACCCAGGGCCCATTCCTTTCTCTGGTTCTCTTACCCAGGCACCTCCCGTCCCTGAATCTCAGTTTACTCCTCAGTAAAATGGGAATGATGGTGGTTACATTGCACATACATAGTGGTGCGTGTGTGTCCGGATTCCAGACTCTGGGTGAAACACTTCATGGCTCTTTGAACGCCAAGGCGCTCACTCCCCGGAGGACTGATTATGTGCTGGTGGGAAGGAGCAGGCAGGCATTGGAGGAGGTGGGTAGAGAGGGAGGTGAGAGGGGCTTGTTAAAAACAAGGATTTCCAGGGCCTCCCTGGTGGCGCAAGGGATTAAGACACAGCCTACGAAGCTGTCCACAGCCACTGCAGCACGAGTTCGAGCCCAACCAGGGAGCTACCCACATGGCGCAGCAGACCTTTCCTGACGCGCCAGGTGCTCCCCTCAGCAGTGTATGTCAGTAGATCCACCTGTTCTGCTCCGCACTCTCTCTGGTGAATCCTCTCACATCCCGCACCTCTAGCATACACCACCAGTTCTTGTGTGCATAAATAAATAAATCTTTTTTTTAAAAAGACATTAATGAAAAAAAAAATTTCCAATCCCTAGCAATCAGGCAGAATCTGGCTTGTTTAGGGGTTTCAGGGAATCTACATTGTAAATTCAAAGGTTTTATAATGAGCCCTAGGGCTAGGACAAATCTAAACCACCCAGGACAGGGGGCTGGTGAATTCCTTAGGAGGAACTCTGGCTCACCTTGGGGGAGTCAGGGATGACTTCTTGGAGCAGGGGACAGCTCATATAGAATCCTTCACGTTTGAGGTCTTAAATAGGTGAAGTACCTAGTGGGAACAAGAAAGCAGCTCAGGCAAAGACCCCAGGAATAAGAGTCTGGTGCCTTAGGCCAGATTTTCTCAACTCCTGCATTACTGACATTTTGGGCTGGATAGTTCTTTGCTGTGGGAGCCGGTCCTGCAAATTGAGCAGCATCCCTGACCACCCACTAAATGCCAACGGCACCTTCCCTGTCTTGGTTACTGAAAATGTCTCTAGACGTTGCGAGTTATTCGCTGGAGGTAAAAATCAAATTTGGTTAAATGATTCCAAAATTGTTTTTGTGTACCCTTATCAGTAAAAATGTTGGAGCTCCTCCCTCAGAGGAAGATTTCTTTATAAATTGTATACAAATGCAGTTGCACCAAGAGATGCTGTAGGTTATTTTATAACATTTATTACATAAAGATATTCTTCAGCAAACTAAAAATAGAGTTTAAAAATATAGAGGTTCAAATGTTTTCTACTTGAACCTCAAAACTTTGTCTGTTCTATGCACTCCTGTCTAGAGACTACTCTGTTAGTGAACGTAAGTAGTTTCTGGTTATTTGTAACTGAAAGGTACAATTTCAGGCAGGGATGGGATGATGTAGGCTGCACAGAGGACCTGGAGTTTTATCTAGAGGGAAGTGAGGGAGGGGTGGAGGACTCTCCCATCATAGCTGCCAGTTACTCTTTACCCAGTGGAGGGGGAAATCATAGCTGTATCTTATCCCCTAGCCAGGGTGGGCACTCAGTGGGCAGGAAACAAGTGGGAATCTGATCCAGTACCAAACAAATCAGGTCTGCTAGATTTCTCAGAATAATCACTTCTATATTGAGTGCTTACTCTGTGCCAGGCACTGTTCTGGGCAGCATGAACAGAGTGTCATACAAAATAAGGAATCCCTTACCCTGAAGAGCTGGCATGCTAGTGGGTAGATGGGTAAGAACAAATATATAATGGGACAGGAAATAAGTGGTAGCATGAAAAATGAACGGGTGGGAGGATGGGTAAAGGGGGGGGTCAAGGAAGGCTGCAGGAAGGAGCAGCTGGGGAAGACTTGAAGGAGGTTGGGGGCAGAGCAGACAGCAAATAAGACGTCTGAGGAGGGAGCCGGGAGCCTGGGGCTGTGTTTCTAGTTATGGTAATCCCACGTTATCCCAAAACTTAGCAACTTACAACAAAAACTTGTTATCTCATAGTTTTGGGGGGTCAAGAATCCAGGAGTGGCTTTGCTGGGCTTACTGGCTTAGGGTCTGTCTCTATAAAGTTTCAGTCAAGATGTTGGTTGGGCCTGCTGTCACCTGAAGTTTTGACAGGGGCTCGAGTATTTCCTTCTGAGGTGACTCAATGGTTAGCATGGAGGAAGTGGGATACCTCACTTCCTCCTGTTTCAGTCTAGTTCCCCAGAAGGAGTGCTCCGAGGAAAGGGAAAGCCAAGGAGAAATTGTACCTTTTTGCGAGCTAGCCTCCAAAGTCACATAGCATTACTTCTTGTTGCCATATTCTGTGTGTTCTGGTCACCAGATCCAGGGAGAGGTTAATAAAGACCCTGCATTTTCTCCCTTCTCCCCGCGCCCACCCCCACCTGTTGGAGCCCCTCACTGGCTACACCAGAAGGCAAGGGGACGGGCAAGCAGGTGGAAACTGTCAGCCTCTCAGGGGCGGTGGGGTGTGGAGAAGGAGCAGAGTGGGCTGGCCAGCAAGGACAAACAGAAGATACAACCAGAGTACTGAATTTGGGCATTTGGACAGAAAAATATTACCAGCGTTCACACGGGGGCGCTGCCTACTCACCAAGAGTTCTGTTTGAGCTTTGTGGGGTTTCTTGGTCTGGCCAGGTGTGACTTGTTTGTGCAGTTGTGTATTGCTTCATTTTTCCTTTGTCTTTATAAAAAGGTGTGGAAAGGGAGAAAACACATGTGCTGGTAACCATGATAGGAAGTGTAGTTCTAACAGTTTGGCACAATTCAGTGAAAGATGGAGCCTATTAGAGCCATCCATTTATTGATTTGTCAGACAGGTATCAAGTGCCCTTCTGGAGCTCATGGGGAAAAGAAAACCAAGAAGATGACATTGTAAGTAATTATTTAACTATATTTATAGTCTATGTTGAAAAATAGAAATTGAGAAATCCATGAGAAATGATAATACATGGGAACCTGACTTGGGAAGTGTGGTCAAGCAGGGCTTCCTGGAAGAGGTGCCTCTTGAGGTGAAATCCTAACATCTTCTGATACACTGTGTCAAGTATTTTATTTTATTTATTTAAAGATTTATTTATTCATATATACAAGAACTGGGATACAGGCCACATTCACGGGAAGGTGAAAGAACTTACCAGAGACAGAACGGGGAACACAACAGGCAGACTGAGTGAAATACACTGCTGAGGGGAGCAGCGGGCGAGACAGGAGAGGTCTGCCATGCCATGTGGGATTCTTGTTGGCCTGGATCGAACCTACGCTGCAGAGGCTGTGGAGAGCTTCACAGCGCTGCACTCACCTGCCTGCGCCACCAGGGGAGGCCCTGTGCCAAGTGTTTCAAATAATGTATCTCATTTGGCTCTTATAACAACACTGAAAAGGGGGTAATAGTATTGCAAGTGGGAAAATAGGGTAAAAACACTGACCAAAATTCCTTGGAAGGGTGAATAGAAATTATCTAGGTGAAGAGGTGAAGCATGTGCAAGAAGGAGCATGTGCAAAGCTTCTGAGGTGGGCAGTAACTTTAGTTTGTTTTAGGAAGTTAAAGGCCAATGTGACTGGGCAAGGGTAGGTGAGGGTGGGCATGGGCAGGTAGGTTGGTAAGTGAAGAGAGATGAAGCTTTTGCCAAAAAGGGCAAATCTTGACCATTAGTTTGACCCTTTGAGACTTAAGGAAATAGGCACAAATGAATTGTGTGTGTTATTTTCACAATCTAGTCAATTTATCCCTCATTTTAACTAAGTGAAGAAGATCAGGAATACCCTAAAGATGTGGGGAAATAAGAACTGTCCCACACCTTTGGTGAGTGTGTGCTTGGTTTGGTCTTTATGGAGGGCAAGTTGGCAAAACCTACTAAAGCATTAGTCTGCTGTATTGACCATTTCTTTCATTTTCTGTACCTTGGCACTTGGACATCTGGTGAAATTCCCTCTCCCAGAGCACACGCGTAATCCATTTGTGTGCTTTTCTGCCTGTGGATTTCTCCACTTCACCTTTATTTCCCATATATTTCTGCAACAATTGATTTTTTTTTGGCAAAAAAAATCCATCATTTTTGTAATCAGAACCAAAATAATACACAACGAGATAGATCCAATTATTTTAAAAAATAACATATGAAGCCCTGGAAATATATCTTTGGCAATGACATCTGAGAAGTGAGAAGTAATTTGGGATTTTGTAATTTGTATAGTCCTTAGTAAATAGAATGTTCTTTATAGCACAGAAATCTATTGTTTGAGTTTTGCAAAATCAGCTGAGATGCTTTTCCAGGAATGTAATATGTGTGAAAACTGTGCAACTTGTTTGGGATTTGGTCCAATTAAATCCTGTGACTGAAGAAATTGCAGTGACTAAAGTACCTCAGGTATGTCCAGGGTTCACTGGGTTCCAGGCTCTCTCAGCAGTGTCCCCGGGACTTTAGGCTCTCAAGACATCCATCAGCTTTTGGTTTAGTTGCCATTGTCCCTACTTTCAAATGAAGATTCTGAGTTTCAGAGACACCAAGAAAACCACATAGGAAACCCAGCTTATAAGTGGCATAGCCAGGGTGTGACTGGGACTCGCTGAATGTAATGCTCCTAAAAGCTGGAATTGAGGACAAGGAATGAAGAGCTGAAGAGAGTGCCCTTTGGAGCCATACAGACTGCGTTTGAGTCACTTGCTAGCTTTTTGAGCAATTTCTGAACCTTTCTGAGCCTCAGTTTCCCTGTCTATAACATGGGAATAGACTGGTGAAGGGGACATGAGTTAATAT